CCAAAAGGGACTTTCACTGAAAGAGGCGGCGGCGGAAGCAGGCGACGCCCCCGGGGATCCTCCCGTCGTAGCCTCCTAGCGGAGGCCGCTTCTGCAGCCAGGCCCGGTTTCCTTTAATTCAATATTTCCCAAACTTGCTTGTTCCCGAGAATCACGTGGGAAGCGTGTTAAAATTACAGATTCCTCGGCTCCACCCGCAGACCTACTGAATCAGAATCTCTAAGGGAGGTGCTCCGGAACCTGTATCTTTAACTAGGGCCCAAGAGGATTCTTATGATCAGGCAAGTTTGGGAAACACAGCTCTAATTCATTGAGGCTGGCGGGAAGGGGGGCGGGGACCGCGCAGTCTCTTTAAGGCGCTTCCAGTTCTCAGCTCCAATCGCTGCTCTGACCCCCTCCGTCGTCTCCTCCCCACTCCTCGACCTTCCCTCGGTCCAGGCGGATTTCCCCAGCACTGCGGAGACGGGGACACCAAAATAACTAAATCCAGGAAGGTGTCTGGGGCTGTGAAATGTCCCCTTAGAGACCAGGTCCTGGGGAGCTCAATCAGAAGCTGTGATAGAAGATGTTCTCTGTGGTTGAGCCTGCCCCCTGAGCCAGTCTCAGGCTCCCTTCCCATCCCAGGTTCTGCCCCCTACCCAATAAGGATGAAGCTCCAGATCCATCCTGGGGCAGGCCTGGACCTCAGACTCCCACGGGCAGAGTTCCCAAGGCTGCTGGGACTGAAGAGGCACGTCCCTTTGCTCATCTTATCGGTGTTCTGGAGAGGCTACGCCCGCTCCTTTCCTCTTTCTCTGGACTCCCAAGGCCGAGAGTGGGTTGAGGATTTGGCAGCTGTACTTCTGTCCCAGCAGATGCTGAGCAGCTCAGGGGCAGCGGGAGGGACCAGGCACAACGAGGCCACGCCAACAGTTAGCACCTCCCCTATGGCTGAGAGGCCAGAACTACGGTACCCCACTCCAAGACCCTCAAGCACTAGCAGGTGCAAGCGGGGAGGGAGCAGGCCTGAGTCTGAGGGCCTCTGGGAGCTCCTGCGCTGAGAGCTGCTGGCAATGGATAACAGCACCAGACCTGAGCCCAGAACAAATGGCTCAGGTCTTGGGCTTACTGGGGGATGTCATGGAGCGGCCACAAGTGCTGGTCCCAGGGAGGGCAGCTCAGGGCTGGCGTTAGGATGGAGGTCAGAGGAGAAGTATATAGCCAGTGCTGGTGGATCAGGGGAGAGTGTGTCCTAGGAAGAGTCAGTCCCTGATTCCTGGTGATTGCTGGCCTTGACCTAGTATACACTGCCGGGATTGTGGGACTATGCTGCTGCTCAGTGATACCCTAGCAGAGTTCTTGGTTAGCATGGGACATCACCCCTCCACCTGGCTCCTTCCTCCAGGGAGGAGTGGTGCTGAGGCCTCCAGGGATTAGCAGTATAAATTGGTTGTCAGGATTCAGGAGCCCTTAAGGAGGATAGGATGTCTGGTTCCCATAGAGCTGAGGTCCTCAGAGCTGCACTGGTGCCTCCCCTCCTTAAGCCAACTCTTGCTTCAATTCCTTGAAGCACCACAGCATCTTTCCAATAAACCCTGCCCTTCGTGGCCTGAAACCAGAGGAACTGCAACTAGCTCACCCACTGAAGGATTCCTGCTCCTGCTATTGCTGTTGCTGCTAAAAATGACAAAAGTCATGGAGGGCTGGAGGGACAGGAGGTACTCTCATCCCACCTCCACAGGAATACAGACATCAGACGAGATGGCTGTGTACCTGGGACTATCTACCACTGAAAACACCATGGCAACCCAGCTGCCTTACTGATCAACTTCCTGCAGAAGCCCTCTGGTCCAGCATGTTCTGGAAGTGGGGAGCTCTACCATCATTCACTCAACAAGTGTCTACTCAGCTCCAACTGAGAGCCAGGTGTTGTATTACGAGCTGTGGACACAGTACTGAACCATACAAACTTGCCCAGGGCCAGAATCAGGCCTGGGAAGTGTCTAGGTCACCAGCAGAGAAGAGGCACCAAAAACAAAAGAATCAAGAAAAAATATCAGAAACAGTTTGATATTCTTTTTAAACAGTTGTCCTCCTTGGAAAAGTTAGAATTTTGTTGAGCTTCTTTACATTCCTTTCCTGATTGTGTGTTACTTTTGCTCTGAATCTCATGTAGGGGGTGCCAGCATAATCTTTTTTTTTTTTTTTCCTTTTTCCGTTCCTTTTTATTTTAACTATGGGTCTTGATTTGAAGAAAATAAGTCTGAAAAATAGTATCTAAAACAGCACAATATAACATAACCAGGGGGAAAATACAAATAGTATGTAATTTACTGGACAATTGTGTATGTTTCTATATAATTTGTTAATGAACTGGATCTTAAAAGATATGTGATCATGAATATGATTTCAGGAATAATGGTTATTTAAACAATTTATTACCTATTTTGGATATATATATATACTTTTTTTCATTTTGAGGAAATAGCTATACTAACCCTGAAGCATTATCTAACTTAATCTTTTTTTTAAAATATGTTTTTATTGATTTCAGAGACAGGAAGGGAGAGGGAGAGAGAGAGAGAAAAACATCAATGATGAGAGAGTCATTGATCAGCTGCCTCCTGCATGCCCCACGCTGGGGATCCAGCCCGCAACCCGGGCATGTGCCCTCATGGGAATCAAACTGTGATCTCCTGGATCATAGGTCAATGTTCAACCACTGATCCATGCTGGCCTAGCTAATTTAATCTTTTTGATGCTTAGTGCTTATATGGGTCTGGATTCAGTCCTGAGCAAATGTCACCATCTCTGTCTCACAAAGACCTAACCGAAGGCTGACAGAAGGGGCCAACCTAAAGAGACCCCTCCCCATTGCAGTCACAGCACCTGGGAATGAATATAACTCTGACCACAAGGTGGCAAAAGAGTATATGACACTCCCTTGAATATTTGTTTTGTATGTTTATATAAAACTATTGGTTTATATCAAAATACTCTCTAAAAATATTTTTAACATTGTGCTCTACACATAGTGACATCTAAAATTTTGCATCAAAAATGTCAGTTAACTGGAAATAATGTGATTTCTGAAAAATATTGACATTCACAAACAAAACTTACATCACAATTTCACATGTAACCAATGAAACCTAAATACCTTAGTGATTTGAGAGCCACCATCAAATCCTTTTGCAAATTAGATGGCTTCTGATAAAATTGAAGGAGAAACCCAATGTTGCTGTCAGCTGATAAATCATGAAAAACAATTTTAAAGATATACCATATTATAATATTTCCCCCATATATCTCCAAAGGAATTCAAAGACTTGAATGACATTGTCAAGTCATAAATTTATAGCCAAACTCTTCTTTGATAGTTGGAAGTTATACATTTTCCCTTTTCTCTCTGAGTTCTTAACTCCATTCTAGTCTTTTAACAGAATTTTGTCCCAATAATATATATTTTTTCACTTGAAATGATTTTATTGATTATCCTATTTCCCTGCAACAAAAAATATGTATATTTTTTTAAATTCTTTTTAATGTTCCTGTGAACCTAAAGCTCTTAGTGTTGTTTAAAAATTTACTCTTGCTTGCCCTGACAGTTGGTTGGAGTGTCGTCCTGTACACCAAAAGGTGGTGGGTTTGATTCCCAGTCAGGGCGTGTGCGGGAGGCAACCCACTGATGTTTCTCTCTCTCTCTCTCCCACTTCCTCTCTCTAAAATAAGTAAATAAAAATTTACCCTTGCTTGTGTTATCATGACAAATAGTATTAGAATATAATGGATCAAAACATTGTAAATGTATTACAAAATTTGAAAGGTAATTGTTAAACATCAAAACAAAAGAATTATTAGAGATAGATA